GAGAGGAGCCTGGTGGCGCAGTCTGTCGCATGTTGTGACGCTCACCAGGATGCCTCATGTCTCCAAACCACCAGCAGTGCCAGGGAGGAAGATGGACTTGCAGCCCCTGAAACCCCCATGGGAGGTCGCCTTGGAGTCAGAACCAGCTGAGTGTCTAAGAGGTTTGGGGTTTGAATCTGTAGTGAAGCTGACCACCACATCTTTCTGCAGGACGGCTGGTGGGCCGACATGGTGACCTTGCCATTGACAGCACCGCCTGTGAGCTGACTCTGGCTCTCGTAGCGACCCTCCACTGACCTTCATGGGAGGACACTGCCCAGTGAGGAGTCGCTGGATTCAAACTTCCGACTCTACCCAGTACCTGAAGCAGAATTTTAGATGTGGCTGATTTTTAAAAAAAAAAAAAAATTCCAAACTTAGAATGTTTCACTACTAATTTTATGTGGCTGGAGGACTAAGTGATTTTGCTTGGTTTTTATGCCACAGCAAATACTCTTAAATACTTTTGCTGAGAATCCATTTGTTTTAGTATGCTGCTGTGGACCATTGAGTTAAAACTCTGAAAACAGCTGACGCTGTTTTCAGAGGCAGTTAATTGCAGGGGAGGAGAGTGCCCATTTTTCTTACATGGAACTGCTGGTGGATTTGAACCACATACCTATGCCCTGCTAGCACAACTCCTTACCACTAAACTACCAGAGCTCCCTATTTGGTTTAGTATTTTTAAAAAAATAATAATTATTGAAGATTCTCCAAAGACAACTGGAATAGCACATCAACAGAACTGCCTGCAGTGCAGGCTGGGTTTAGAAGAGGCCGTGACACTGGGGATATTATAGCTAATGTCAGATGGATCTTGGCTGAAAGCAGGGAGTACCAGAGGAATGTCTATCTGTGTTTCATTGACTGTGCAAAGGCATTTGACTGTGTGGATTACAACAAGCTGTGGCAGGCTCTAAGAATGGGAATCCCAGAACACTTGATTGTGCTTATGTGAAACCTATACTTGGACCAGGAGGCAGTTGTCAGAACAGAGCAAGGAAACACTGCATGGTTCAAAATTGGGAAGGGTGTGCACTAAGGAGGTGTCCTATCTCCATATCTTTGTCAACCTATATGCAGAACAGATTATCCGAGAGGGTGGGCTCTGAGATGTGTGGCATCAGGATAGGAGGTAGACTCATCAACAGTCTATGTTATGCAGATGACACAACCCTGCTTGCTGAAACTGAGGAGGACCTGAAGCAGTTCCTGCAGAGGGTCAAGGACTGCAGCCTTCAATATGGATTGAAGCTCAAAGATTCTCATCAGTGGGCCAGTTGGCAGCATCATGATAGATAGAGCATGAGATTGAGATTGTTAACACGTTGCTGCACACTTTTAAATTGACGATCATGCTTAGAAACACTTTTTTTTTCCTTCTTCAATGTATTACGATCATTTTTAACAGCTTCAGTTTGCTTAGCTCTACAGTCAACACTCTTGGTACCAGCAGCCAGGAAATTAAAAGACAAATTGCACTGGGAAAGTCTGCTGTCAGAGACCTCTCCAAAGTACTTAAGAGCATTGATGTCAGTCTGGAGACTAAGGTGCACCTGATACAGGCCATGGTCTTTGCAATTACTTGCTATGCATCAGAAATCTGGACAATGACTAGGGATGATAGAAGGAGAATTGATGCCTTTGAGCTGTGGTGCTGGAGAAGAGTATTGAATATACCATGGACTGCTTAGGAGAACAAATAAATCCATCCTAGACAGGGTGAGACCAGGCTGTTCCTTGGAGGCAAGGATTCTGAAGCTTCGTCTGACATACTTTGAACATATTGCAAGGTTGGATCATTCCTTGGAGAGGGACATCATGCTTGGGAGGGTGGAGGGGCAGCTCAAGAGAGGAAGACCCTCGATGATGTGGGTTGATTCCGTGACTGGGGTAATGGGGATAGGTCTGTCAGAGACAATAATATTGGCAAGGAATAGAGCAGGATTTAGGGCTGTTGTACATAGGGTCGCTCTGCGTCCCAGTTGACTCAACAGCACATAACAACAACAAATAAGTACTCACTTTTAGAAATTTTTCCCTTAAATCATTTGTATGTTATTTGGTTGCTCAAGAGGAAATCTATGATTTTTTTTAATTCCCTGTAATTTGAAAAATAATCTTTTACAAAATTAGTTTTAAAAAATTACTTCTTTTTTAAGCTATGTTGTTGTTGTTATGTGCTGTCGAGTCGCTTCCGACTCATAGCGACCCTATGTAAACAGCTCTAAACTCTGCTCTGTCCTGTGCCAATGTCCTTGTCTCCAACACACTCATCCTGATTGCCCCAGTCACCGAATCAATCTATCTCCCAGAGGGCCTTCCCCTCCTGCGCCTGCCCTCCACCCTCCCAAGCATGATGTCTCTCTCTAAGGACCAGTCCCTCCTTACATCATGACCAAGATATGTCAGACGAAGCCTCAGAATCCTTGCCTCCAAGGAGCAGTCCGGTTTAACCCTCTCTAGGATTAATCTGCTTGTTTTCTTAGCAGTCCATGGCACTCAGCACTCTTCTACAACACCAAAGCTCAAAGGCATCAATTCTCCTTCTATCCTCCCTGGTCATTGTCCAGCTCTCTGATGCATAACAAGTGATTGCAAAAACCATGGCCTGTACCAGACATACCTTAGTCTCCAGAGACACATCGTTGCTCTTGAGTACTTTAGAGAGGTCCCTAACAGCAGACTTTCCCATCACAATACGTCTTTTAATTTCCTGGCTGCTGGTGCCAAGAGTGTTGATTGTGGAGCCAAACAGACTAAAGCTATGAACAATCTCAATCTCTTCACCATCCATCCTGATGCTGCCAATTGGTCCAGTGGTGAGAATCTTTGTCTTCTTGACATTGAGCCTCAATCCATATTGAAGGCTGCAGTCCTTGACCCTCTGCAGCAGGTGCTTCAGGTCCTCCTCAGTTTCAGCAAGCAGGGTTGTGTCATCTGCATAACGCAGATTGTTGATAGATCTTCCACCAATCCTGATGCCACATTTCTCCTCATAGAGCCCAGTTTCCCAAATGATCTGTTCTGCATACAGGTTGAAAAGGTATGGAGACGGGACACATCCCTGACTTACGCCCTTCCCAATTTTGAACCATGCAGTGTTTCCTTGCTCTGTTCTGATGACTGCCACTTGGTCCAAGTATAAGTTTCACATTAGCACGATCAAGTGTTCTGGGATTCCCATTCTTCTCAGAGTCAGCCACAGTTTGTTATGGTCCACACAGTCAAGTGCCTTTGCATAATCAATGAAGCACAGATAGACATTCCTCTGGTACTCCCTGCTTTCAGCCAATATCCATCTAACATCAGCGACAATATCCCTAGCTATTATGGGAAATCTAGTGTTAAGAAACTGCACTGCAGTCCTGACAGCACAGAGTTTGAATCCACCAGCTGCTCTTCGGGAGAAGGATGGGCAGTCTCCTCCCATGTGAATAACTGCCTCTGAAAACCCACCGGAGGGTCAGCTATGGGTCAGTTCTGACTCTACAGCACACAACAACAGCATCAACATGCCATATAACAATTTACTGCTGTCGAGTCAGAACTGACACTTTGCTACTGGGGTAAGATACCTCATTGTGGTTTTGGTTGGCATCTCTCTTCTTGTCAATGATTTTAAGTATTTCTTTATGTGTCTGAAGAGAAAACCAAATGACTGGGGGGAAAGAACCATTTTTCAATGCCATCTTATTCAAGGATCTCATAACAGAAGTTTCTAGAATCCTACAGGGCCTCCACAAGAGAAAGTCTGATAACCTGGTTACAAAATGGGCAAAAGATATGGAAGGACTTTTCACAGAGAAAGACATGCAGATGGCCAACAGACACATGAAGCAATGCTGATAGCGTTTTTAAATAATTGTAAATATTGAGAGGAGATTTGGTGGCCTGATCTGTAGGGAATTGGGCTGCAAACCCAGTGGCAGCACTTCTCTGAAGGTTTAAATCCACCAGCTGGCTGACCCTCAGGAGAACGATGGTCTCCTCCCGTGCAACTTACAGCCTTGGAAACTCACTAGAGGGTTAGCTATGACTTGATTCTGAAAGGACAGCAATGTGAGAAAGGCAGTAATTAATAGCTGACGATGTCTCTTTCTTACATCTAATCTTAATTCCTTCATAAGCTTTTTTCTTAACAAATCTTTAAAGTGGATGCTTCTTCATTATAATCTTAAAAGCATGGTAGGTTGAGTACAGATAACAACTGCTAGTTAAAATAATAACGGCCAGAGATTCATGGCACTGAGAGATTTCTTCGGCTACCTTTTATCTTTCTCCACCAAGGATGGATGACACCCCTTTGACCAAGTGAATTCACAGGCCTTTCCTTAACATGCAAACAAGTTAAAATGTCATTTCCTCTTCCTTGGCTTCATTTCCTCAAGGGACAACACCAAAAAACATCAGCATTGCTAAAAGTCGGAGGCTTTCAGGAGCCACAGAGGTCAGGTTAACCCCCACAACTGCTGCCTTGGCATAACCTTTAAACCTTACTCCAAAAAATATGCACCGAACTCTACTTTAAGCCATGCCACAGTTTAGTTAACCAGTAAAGAAGGTCTTCCTGGAAAGCTGTACTTTGAAAAGGAACCATTTCTCTGTGGGGTCAGTCTGACAGCAGCAATTCAAATGGTTTTATAACCAGGTTAGGGGGCAATGAGTTTATGTCAGTGGGGGAAAAACAGGTCAGAAAAGAATAAAGTATAATTCATGTTGGCTGAATTGCATGTGCATACACTGTATGTCTTCCTGTGTATATTTTCAACAGCAGAAGTAAACTAGTTCACAAAGAAAAAAGAACTAGTGTACCCAGCACAGTTCTGAGCCCTTTATAAAAATTACAGTAACAAAATAGGAAGTCAGGGAATTGAAAGCAAAGATCAACAGGAAGAGTTGGGGAGAGAAATCCCAAAACGGTCGGCCATCCCCCTCAAGCTGGTTCCTGGTTTGGGGACATGCCGTGCCACAGTGAGCTCCTCACACGTGGTCTCAGAGAGAAATTGGGGGTGTTTTAACAGAAGCCCTGATAGCAGACACACAGTTAAGCACTTAACTGCTAATCTAAAGGTTGTCAGTTTGAATCTCCTCAGTAGCTTTGCAGGAATAAGACCTGGTGACTTGATCCTGTAAAGTCTGTCGTTACCCACTTGCCCATCAGTGAACAAAGGGATAAAGAAATGGCCGTATGTTCACACAGTGAAGTGCTACACACCACTGAAAAATGAGTGAAAATTTGTGACATACTGCACAGCATAGATAAATCTAGAAATTATGCCAAGTGACATAAGTCAGTCACAGAAACAATTATAAGACTGCTATTCTAAAAGTCTAGGTAAGGAGGCAGTTTTTGAAGGAATCTCACTGCCCTCCCAGATCTGCAATAAAGTGCTATGGGTCTTGAAAAAAAGTCAGCGGAAAAGTTTGCACAGATTGAGACTCATTTTTGAACGGTTAATGGGGATCAGGAACAAAAGTTAATGAAAGGTTATATCCAACAAAAGGTTTACTAGACACTAATTAATTGCATTCATTAATGGTAATTCATGTTAGAGAACAAAATGTCTGTTAATGATTGTGTGAAAAACTGGTATGATTTGTAAACCTTCAGCCTTCACTTAAATTGGAGGGAAGAAAGTAAGAACAACTTATTCTTGTGAGATCCTGTTGAGTCACTCCAACTCCTGTTGACCCCACGTGAACAGAATGAACACCTCTGTTTACAGCCAAGAACTCTACAGGGCACTTCTCCTCTGCCACGTTCGGCCAGTGTGTCAACTTGGTGCACGCGCTGACAGCAAGCAGCTTGCAAAGGGACGGGGGAAACGTGTCGGAACACATTTCTGTTCAAGGTTGCCGTGTGCCACCCGAGGTTTCCATTGCCACGTGCCCCCTGGCGCGCATGCGCACACTTGCTTCTCCGTCACACGTGGTCCCTCTCCGCCTTCCTGCCCGCATTGCGCCCTAACTGTGTTCTGGTTTTGTTCTCCCCAGCTTAAGCGAGAGCTTCTTCATGGTGAAAGGAGCTGCCCTCTTCTTACAACAGGGAAACAGCCCTCAAGGCCAGCGGAGTCTGCAGCATCCCCACAAGCATGCAGGTGAGGGCTCGAGCTTTGTGCAAGTCAGACGGGCAGGGCACCAGAAGACATTCGGGCCGTACGTGGACCCCTGGGAGAGGGGCCCCGGGATCCACCCGGTGGACTAGTCTGGGCACTGGGAATATTCTACTTGGGACTTTCAGGATCCTTGACTTTAAGGGCAGGCCAAGAGTATTTCTTAGAGTGAAAAGTCTATTACTCAGTGTTGTGTGTTGAGTTGGAATTGATTCATAGCTGAATGTCCAGTGGATTTTCAGCACCTGTAAATTGCACAGGAGTTGACTGCCCATCTTTCTCCCTTTGAGCAGCTGGTGGATTCGAACCATTTGCCTTTGGGTTGGCAGCACAGTTCCTTACCACTTAGGCTACCGGAGCTTCCTAGTCCTCATTAGTGGATGAAAGTAATAAAAAAAAAAACCCTAAAATGAATAGTCAAAAATCTCACTGCTATCAAGGTCGTTCATGGCTCATGGGTCAACTTCAGGTTTCTGAGACTGTAAATCACACAAGAGGAGACTGCTCATCGCTCTCCCACAGAACCACTGGTAGTTTCGAACTACCAGGCTCCGAGTCTTTGGATCGGCTATCTAGGTTCTATCCCCAGAGCTACCCGCTAACTGAGTAGTCATTGTTGTTATGTGCTGGTGAGGAACCAGCTCATAGCTGACGACCCTCCAGTGGGTTCTCAGGCACTCTACGGCTCATGGGAGGAGGTTGCCCATCTTTCTCACTTGGAGCAGCTAGTGGATTCAAACTGGATGCCTTTGGCTTGGCAGCACAGCCACTTGGCACTAAGACACCAGAGCTCCCTACCTGGGAAGTAGTGCAGATCAAAAAACAAACCCGCAAGAAATGCTTGCTTCTCTTAAGTGGTTCAGCTCTGAAACTGAAGGCAACTTGTAAAGAGAAATTTGAGAAGCATTTGCATAGGAGTGGACCTTTGAGAAAGGTCATAACCTGCCCAAGGACAAGGAGTCCTGGTGGCATCGTACATTATGTGTCAGGTTGCCTAAGGTCGATGATGCGAATTCAGTAGTTACTGCTTGGGAGAACGGTAGGCACTCTCATCCCATAAGGATTTACAGACTGGGAAGCCCCGTGGAGGGTCACTGTGGATTGAAAATTACTTGAAAGCGGTGGGCTACATTTGTCTTGTCAAGGGCTTGCAGATCAGTGAGCTTCAAGGCCACTTGTCCTGCCCCCTATAATCATGCTATTTGTTTAACCTCAGGTCATCTGGCCTCATTTTGAATCTGAGTATTTGGGCTTGAATTTCCCATCTTATCACACAGAACAGATGCCAGGAAAAAAATCAGTATTTTCACATATTTATAATCAAGATTTTAAGTCTGTTTGAAGCTAAGAAATTATCAGCCTGCACAGGGAGACAGTGTGATCTGTGAAAAGAGAATGTGCTTCGTAGAAACTAAGTCAGACCTGGCTTCTGATCCCAGCTCTGTGACTTTTTTAGCAGGCATTAACAGCTTATCCACCTCCTCATTAACCTCAGTTTCCTGTCTTTTGAATGGGTTTCAAATACTGGCCCCTCACACAGTTGTTTGGAAATTCAAAGTTATGGTTATAGCATATGTCAAATTAGCACCAACTCCTTGCTGTGGGTTTTCAGAGGTATTACATTGCATCGTTTAAAGTTAAGGGATTGCGTCAGGGTTGTATTCTACCTATTCAGTCTGCTGAGCAAATTATCTGAGAAGCTGGACTCTGTGAAAAGGAATGTGGCATCAGGATTGGAGGAAGACTCATCAATAACCTGTGTTATGCAGATGACACAACCTTGCTTGCTGAAAAGTGAGGAAGACTTGAAGCACTTGTTGCAGAAGGTCAAGGAATGCAGCCTTCAATATGGATTGCATTTCAATATCAAGAAAACAAAGATCTTTATCACTGGACCAATAGGCAATGTCATGATGGATGGAGAAAAGATTGAAATTATCAACAGCTTCGTCTTGCTTGGTTGCACAGTTAACTCTGTTGGTACCAGCAGTCAGGAAATAAGGAGTTGTACTGCACTGGGAAAACCTGCAGTTAGGAACCTCTCCAAATTACTGAGGAGTAATGATGTCAGTTTGAGGACTGAGGTGCATGTGATTCAGGCCATGGTCTTTCCAGTTACTAGCTATGCATCTGCGAGCTGGACAATGAATACGGATGACAGAAAAAGAATTGATGTCTTTGAGCTTTAATATTGGAGAAGAGCACTGAACATCCCATGTTCGGCCCAGAGAATGAACAGATATGTCTTGGAGAGGATTCAGCCAGAGTGATTTTTAGAGGCAGGAATGATGAGGCTTTACCTCACATACTTTGGACATGTTGCTAGGAGGGGCTGTTCTTTGGAGAAGACCATGATGCTGGAAAGGGTTGAGGGTCAGCAAGGGAGAGGAAGAAGACCTTCAACCAGGTGGATCGACATGGTGACTGTTGCAGTGGGCTCTTGTGTGTACAGGATAGAATAGAGTTCAGATCTTTTGCTTATAGGGTTGCTATGAGTCATACAAGACTCGACAACAACTAAAAACAGCATCGCACAGGAGGAGGTTGCCTGTCTTCCTCCTGTGGAGCGGGTAGTGGGTTTAAACCACGTGCCATTAGCTTACCAGCTCAACTCCTTCGCGTGGAGCCACCCATAATAGGGAGCTCTCACATTAACTCAGAATACCAAGTTCATAAGAGGCACTCGGTACATGGTGCCTATCATAACTACTAAGACTTCTAGCTCAGTGACCCTATAAGCACAGCTTTGATTCTTGAATTTCCTGGTGGCTTGTCCCTTGGGGACTGTCACATATAGCACTGCCCAGGGTGCCAGTTGACCCCCGCAGCCGCGGAGCCTGGTGTGGATGCAGACAGGCGGGATTCCCATGCACCAGCACTCCTATACTTCACAGACAACCGCGCAGAGAGCTGTCTGTGGAAATGCCCTTTCATCACGGCATTTATCGCACAAAGAATTCCCTTTTGCTGTCCTCTGGGCAGTCCTGGGAGCTGCGGGGAGGTTGCAGGTTAAGAGCCAACCAGGATGGTTGTGTGGTGCTAGTTACCCCACAGAGAGGAAAAGAGGGGAGGCAGCCGCCTCCTTTTGATTTTGAACCGCTGTTTTCCAGATAGAACATGGGGATGCCTATTCCCTGCCACTGGGTCGGTTCTCACTCCTAGGAATCCTCCTTTGGGTCTCTGAGGCTGTAAATCTTTACAGGAGGAAACTGTCCATCCTTCTCCCTTGGAGCCACTGATGGGTCCAAACCACAGACCTTTCCGTTATTAACAATAACCTAGTCACATCACTCCGCAGATGGGGCATTTTATGATCTGAGTCAAGAGGTGCAATCCGGACGTCCTCTGTCAGTGCTGCTTGAAAATTTAAAAGATGCTTCTGAAAGGGAAGCAGACCACAGCTTATTTCACAGTCCTCAAGTGTGTTAGCAGCGCTGGCTCTTCGGAGGAGCTCGGGTGGTGTCATCTGTGAGATGTTGTGATCCTAACCGGTGTTCAGCCTTCTGGGCATCTAATTAGCATCTCTAGAGTAACTTGGTAAAGCATGCTCTGTTCTGGAGGGCATGTCACCAGATTGCACTGAACGTAAATTTGCTATGAGTTAATCTTTAGAAATTCTCGTTTTCAAGTATTTGTATTTCCTTCAGAAAAAAGCCCAGTCTGGCATTTAGAAGCAATGTGGAGTGATGATGTTTAAGGACTGAGGTGCACCTGATTCAAGCCATGGTCTTTTTCAGTTATTTTCTGTGCATCTGCAAGGTGGATGATGACTAAGGAGAACAGGAGAGGAATTGCCTTTGAGTGTGGATCTGGAGAAAAGCCCACAGATTGCCAGATGAACGCAAAGACATCCGGGGAAAGTTCAGCCCGGGTGCTCCTTGGAGGCAAAGATGGCCAGACATCATCTCACATGCTTTGGGCATGTCATAAGGAGGGGCCAGTCCTTGGACAGGACATCATGCTTGGAAAAATGGAAGGTTCTTGAAAGAGAGGAAGATCCTTAAAGAGATGCATTCACATAACGACTCCAGCAATGGGCTCGTGTGTATCAGAGGTGATGAGGATGGTACAGGAGAGGCAGGGTTCAGGATCAGGCTTCGATCTGTGGTGAGTAATATCACCTCAACAACACCCAGCAACAACAGCATAATTCAGGAAAAGCTGCATACGGCCACAGCCGCTGTTAAGGTCTGTCGAGCTGATCTCCTGATTGCCAGCAGAGTGAAACACAGTCCCCGCTCCTGCTCGGCCCCTATCTTTGGGAGCACTGTGACCCAGAGGGGTTTCACAGACTGGTTTTCAGACGCAGATCGCCAGCCCTTCCTCTTAGTCCTGTTCAGCATCACAACCACAGGCTGAGTGGTGGCTGCACAGTGGCTGGGAATGTCTGTTTCCTGGTCTCCTACACAGAAAGCAAGCTATCTACCACCGAACCACCACTGCCCCCAAGCCGGTTAGCAGTGACACAGTTCCAGGTCGTGGTGACCCTTGTGTGTATCACAGCCCTCAGGCAGAGCAGGTGATTAACTCGCTTGGTTGCTAACTGGAATGTTTAAGGTTTGAGTCCACCTGAAGGTGCCTTAGTAGAACCACCTAGCAATCTACTAAAAAACCCCCTAGAAACCGAGTAATGGTGCCTTTCTGTTGGAGTGGCCCTCGGCCTGGAACAGTCACTTCTTCAGTTAACTGAGGAACCTGTTTATTATGCAGTAGCAAGAGTGGAGCAGGAGAGATGGAGATGTGAACGTGCTGTTTCTCCGTGATGTAGGATGGTTGGTGCTGTTAGATGCCCGCTCACCGTGACCCCATACACCACAGATCGAAGCCTGGTCCTGCCCCTGCCGCACAACCTCAGCTGTGCCCCATGACTACAGCCCCCAGACCAGTCCATCTCTCTGAGGACTCTTGATGACCCTCTGCTTTTCCAAGCACGATGCCCTTCTCCAGGGACCAGCCCCTCCTAATATCACGCCCAAAGTATGTGACACAGAGTGTCCCCATCTTGTCCCGAGCCATCAAAGGCAGTGTATAGGTTTCTGCCTGACAAGGAGGTGAGTAAAACACTCTTTCTTGCCCCAACAGGCGACTTACCCCAACACCTGCAAGTCATGATCAACCTTCTGCGCTGTGAAGACAGGATCAAGCTGGTAAGAGGCCACGAGAGGACCGCATGTTCCATTTTAATGGGGAGGCTTGGTAGGAAAAGAGGCTTTTGGGTTCTAAGGAATTCTAATTTGAGTTTATAAAGAATTCTCCCCAATTGCTCACAGCCGCTGGAGCCAAATGGGCAGGTGAAAGAATGCGTCAGGTCTCACTTTTCTTGTTGGCATTGACTGTGACCCGCGAATCCTGGCAAAGAACACAACAGGGTGTTGTCTCTTTCTGCACTGCCTTCAACCGTTGTTGGTGATGGGACAGTGTTCGGTAGCAGTAGCGTTTTCTCTGGCTACATGTTTTTCTCCCAGTACAGAAGGTTATGTCGAACCCTGTCCACCGTGGTTGACACTGGTAGTATCTGAAAGACTGGTTGGCATAGCTCCCCAACAGTCTGGTGCGGGATGTGCCAACCCTGTCACTGAGCCTCTCTCAGAAGAGAATCCTCCCCGCATTTTGTCCGGTCACTCACTGAACAGACATTGAGTATCTGTTGAGACCATCCTCTGTCGCTGGTCTCAGGAACTAACCAAGATGTGGTTCCTTCTCTCCAGAATTTCTTCTTAATGCCTAAATTCATAGAGGAAAAGTAGAAAGCAAGACTTCTTGATTGTGGTGTGTCGATTGTGTAATGCCTCACCTGACTGCAGGTGATTTTCCCCGTTAGGCAGTGCGTTTAGAGAGCGCCTGGACAGACCGCGTCCGGTACATGGTGGTGGTGTACAGCAGTGGACGTCAGGACACCGAAGAGAACATACTGCTGGGAGTTGACTTCTCCAGTAAGGAAAGGTGCGTCTGACAGGGAGGGGACAGTTCCTTCCAGATTGATGTCTTTATTTTTAAAAAATTGAAGGTTTGCAAAACATAATTGGTTTTCTATTCAAACCTTATTCATATGAATTTAGTTATAAAACTTTAATGACACCACTCACAGTACAATCACACTCCTCCCATTTCCTCCCTATGATTCTCATTTCCATTAATCTTTCTGCCGCACCCTCTCCTGCCTTTAGGGATTTCTCTTTGGGCAAATGCTGCACTTTTGACCTTATATGGTAAGTTATTCTAAGAAGTGAGCGCCTCTCTGGTGTTATGAGTCACCTTAAGGGCTAGTGTGTTGTTTGACTGAAAGTTGAGCCATGGGCGTGAGTTTTTATTCCAAATCAGAAGTCAGATTGCACTGGGAAAGTCTGCTGTCAGGGACCTCCCCAGAGTACTGAAGAGCAACAATGTCGGTCTAGAGATTAAGGTGCACCTGTTCAGGCCATGGTCTATGCAGTTACATGCTATGCATCAGAAAGCTGAGCAGTGACTAGGGATGATAGGAGGAGAATTGATGCCTTTGAGCTGTGGTGCTGGAGAAGAGTATTGCATATACCATGGAGTGTTAAGAGAACAAACAAGTTCATCCTGGAGAGGGTGAAACCAGGCTGCTCCTTCGAGGCAAGGATTCTGAGGCTCCATCTGACATACTTTGGGCATGTTGCAAGCAGGGACCTGTCCTTAGAGGGACATCTTGCTGGGGAGGGTAGAGGGACAGCGCAGGAGAGGAAGACCCGATGAGATGGATTGATTGAGTGACTGGGGTAATGGGGGTAGGTGTGTCAGAGACAATAAAGTTGGCACAAGATAGAGCAGGGTTCAGAGCTGTAGTAGATAGGGTAACTCCGAGTCCCAGGCCAGTGAATCCATCTCATCGAGGGTCTAAACATCAAGATGGAAAACAAAGCTCTTCACCACTGGGCTAATAGACTGCATCATGATAGATGGAGACAAGATTGAAATTGTCAACGACTTAATCTTGCTTGGATCCACAATTAATAACCTTGGTGGATTTCAAATGGCATGTTGCATTGGAGGAAATCTGCTGTCAAGGAACTCTCCAGAGTGCTAATGAGCAACAGTTTCAGTCTTGAGACTAAGGTGTGCCTGATCCAGTCCGTGGTCTTCTCAGTTGCTTGCTGCGCATCTGAGAGCTGGACAATGAATAAAGACAACAGAAGAAGAATCAGTGCCTTTTGAGTTGCGTTGCTGGAGCAGAGCATTATATATCCATCTCATGGACTGCCAAAAGAACGAACCAGTAAGTATTGGAGAGAATGCAGCCAGGATGCTCCGTAGAGGAAAAGATGGTGAAACTTCATCTCACGCACGTTGCGCGTGTTTTTAGGAAGTATTGGTCTTTGGGCAGAGACGTCAGGCAGAGGAAAGTGCAAGGACGATGAAGGAGGGGAAGATCTTCAACGAGATGAATTGACCCAGTGCAGTCACGGGCAGTGGACGCTAGTGTGGCAGAGATGATGAGGATGGCTCACAATAGGGCAGGGCTCAGATATCTTCACAGGGTTGTGAGGAGTTGTAGTTAACTACATCTAACAACAACAACAGTCGTGCCCCTGGAGCAGGAGGACCCACCAGGTCTCCTCTTGTATGCCAGCCACTCTATGAGACACAGCCAGCTTATGAGAATCAAGTTAGTTCCAACTTAAACCAACCCTCCATCAGGTTTCTGAGGCAGTGAATCGTAACAGGAATAAACTTCCCATCTTTCTCCCAAAGAGCTCAAAGTAGGTTTGAACCACTGCAGATGCTCAGCCCATCAGCACAACACTACAAATGTCCCTTCAGTGACCACTGAGAGTGTAGAAGTTACATGGTGCTGGAAAATTTAGCCCTGAGTGCTGTAGAAATAAATTTGTGGGCATCCTGTCAAATGCTTTGTAAGGTTTTGATAATCTTTGAATTCTGTTACGGAGAATTCTGCGTCCTCCTAAAATTTGTGTTGTAAATCTTTACCTCCATGCCTTTGAAGGAGCTTGGATGGCCTAGTGGTAAGTGGTAAGTTAGCGGTCTTAAGGAAGGAATCAGAAAGAATGAGAGAAGACTTAATGCAGCTTTACTGAAGGGGGGTGGATAGGGGAGCTCCCGGGTGAAGTTCTTTATTCTGGAGATGCAGAATGGGGAAGTCACACTGTGAATTTAATTGGGGAGGGTTTTTATAACTGTCTGTAGGGAGGGACATTCCATTCTGATTTATGATTCGCCTGTTAGCTCAGCCAGGCAGGTAAGGGCAATTTGCTCTTCTCAGTAATGTTTGAAATCTTCATTCTCCCCTGGGTCCCCCATCCAAACTTAACAGTAAGGAGCTGCACTGCCAGCCGGAAGGCACAGAATCTGTGAGCTGCTCCGCAGGAGAAACATAGGCAACCTCCTCTCTGCGATTTACTGCCTCTGGAAACATCATAGAGCCAATTATGGGTCAGTTCCCATTCAACATTACATCCCAGCAATGCCTTTGAATTGTAGTGTTGTTGAACAGTAATGACTATACTACGGGCTGCCAAAAAAAAAATATGAAAGAGGTGTAACTAGAGTGCTGTTTAGAAGCAAGATGGTGAGACTTGGTCTCACATACTTCAGGCATCTTATCCAGGGATGTTTCAGTCCTTGAACAAGCACATCATGCTGGAAAAAGCTCCTGTTGTATGTCATAAAGTCAGAACTGACTCATAGCTGATCCACCAGTAGGTTTTCAGAAGCAGTAAATCATGTGAGAGGAGACTGCCTGCCTTTCCTGTGGAGCAGCTGGTGGGTTGGAGCCACGCGCCTTTGGGGTTGCAGTACAGCTTCTTACCACTAGACCACCAGAGCTTCAGCCGAGAGGGTTGGTGAAAAAGACAAAGACCCTCAATGACATGGATTGACACAGTGTCTGCAGCAGTGGGCGTAAGCATGTTGATTGTACGATGGCACAGGATCTGTCATGGTTTTATTCTATTGTATGTAGAGTTGCGATGAATTGGGGCTACAGCTCTGGTGGCCTAGGGGCAAGAAGCTGCACTGCAATCCTGAAAGCACACAGTGGCCACCAGCTGCTCCTCCAGAGAAGGAGGGGCATCTCCTCCCATGTGATTAACTGCCTCTGAAAACCTGCTGGAGGGTCACCTGTAGGTTGGTTCCGACTCTAAGGTGCACAACGACAACAACCTAGCAGCAATAGCATATGGGTTATTAAAAATCTCATTTGAAATGTTGTTTGTATAGGTCTTTTCTGTCTCTACTTAGATTTTTCCCAAGCATTTCCTCTTGTGATTAGCTGTTGTAATTGATACTGTCTTTCTTAACTCCATTTCTATATTCTATCACTGTAGAGAAATCCAACTGATTTTTGTGTGTTGATCCTGTATCCTGCCATTTTACTGAATTGGTCACTTATGTCTGATAGTTTTGTCGCTGTATCTTTAGGGTTTTCTAAGTGTACGATCATGTCATCTACATATGGAAATAGTTTTACGTCCTATTTGCTGATTTGTGTACCTCTTACTTCCTTCTCTTGCCTTACTGCTCTTGCTAGAAGGTGGTCTGGCTCTTTCTCAAAAAGTTAAATATGTTGTTGTTGTTGTTGTTGTTTTTGTGTGCTGTCAAGTCACTTGTAACTCATAGTGACCCTGTGTACAACGGCTCTGAAGCCTGCCGTATCTTGAGCCAGTCTGTCTCTGACACACCTATCCCCATTGCCTCAGTTACAATACATCTCATCTGGAGTCTTCCTCTCCTGTGCTGTCCCTTCACCCTTATGAGCATGATGTCCTTCTCCAAGGACCAGTCTGTCCTAGCCACGTGCCCATAGTATGTGAGGCAGAGCTTCAAAATCCTAGCCTCCAAGGAGAAACTTGGTTTTACCCTGTGTAAGACAGGCCTGTTTGTTTTCCTCATGGTCCATGGTATGTTCAAGACTCTCTTCCAGCACCACAGCTCAAAGGCATCAGTTCTTCTATGATCCTTAGTCATTGTCCAGCTCTCTGATGCATAGTAAGTAATTGTAAAGACCATGGCCTGGATTAGGCGCACCTTTGTCTCTAGACTGACATCGTTGCTCTTCAGTACTCTGGAGAAGTCCCTGACAGCAGATGTTCCCAGTGCAATTCGCTTTTGATTTCTTGACTCCTGGTTCCAAGAGTGTGAATCCAAGTAAAATGAAATTGTTGGCCACTTCTGTCTTGACTCCAGCTATCACAGTGTACCTGTTTTCTGTTTTAGCAGCACTGTAGATACTAGCTCTGGTGGCCTAGTGACAAGAGGCTGTGCTGCAATCCCAAAGCCCAGCTGCTCTGCTGGAGAAGGATGGGCACTCCCCTCCCATGCCGTTAACTGCCTCTGAAAGCCCACCACAGGGTCAGCTATGGGTCGGTTCTGACTCGTATGCAACAGCAAATCGATAACTAAGATAGATCCTGAAGTACTTGTTATCACATCTCTGTCAAATGCTTTATCAGAGAGTTGGAATTTCCCAGTAACTGTCTCAAAGCCAAGTGAATTATTGCAAAGATTTCTTTTAAGCAAAACAAGTGGGAAAAAGTTTATTAAGGCAATAAGACAGAGGCATAGCTAGTGTAAGGTGGGCCATGCAAGAGTTAGAGCGGAAAGGGAAGGACCCCTGTAAAGATGGGTGAGACCAGACCTTCCAGCCTGCTGTCTGCAGAAGAGGAGAGGGGGATGCCCAGTGGGCACTGCTTTGATTGACTCCCAATCTTAAGACTTGGTGTGGTCCAGCCCCACCTAGGGACTTGTGTGATTGGCTGGGGAGGGAGTTACTTCCAGGTGTAACCACCTTTTGGCTCTTGCCACACTCTCACGTTGGTGCAGGTGTGTCATTGGCTGGGGGTGGGGTTACTTCCTGATGTAACCACCGTTTGGCCCTGCTGCACTGTCAAGTTGGTGCAAGTGTAATATTTTCTTCCCGTTTCCGAGGAGACTCCAGCGCTCCTCTGTGAGAGTAAGAGAGACCA